CCCTATACAGACTTTACAGCAGGCCATAGGCTTACGTTTCTCATTTAACCTGTGAACAGTCGTGGTGCAGAGAGGGCAGGTGGCATCATCTCCATTGACAGTTGAGCTCCTGTGTGTGAGGCACCAAATGTCAGGTGTGGCCACATTCCCAAGCCCTTCTCCAATGCGAGCATGTGTTTCAGAAGCCCTTTCCTTCCTTGCAGGCCCTAGAGACTCAGCCTGCTTTCCTGGCCCTGAAAGTAGACCCTCCCCTTACCCCTCTACTCGCCTGGTAGCCCTGGCAGGAGAGTAGGATGGAGGTTCGCAACTCATCTTTTTCTTTCTATACATGAAATGAGTACCTTTTGCAGCCTTTCACTCCAGAGAGATAGATAAAGCATCTTAAAATAGCTAATACTCAGCAAATATCGGTTCTGGAAATGCCACTGTGTTTGTACAGCCTGTAGAAATGGAGTCGGGGCTGGCTTCCTTATGGCACTTGCTCTGAGTCTGTACTCAGAATTCCCCCAGGGACATGTCCCAGGTTCTTGTTACCACTGCCAGAGCTTCACCCCACCTCCTGAGGGCCGTAGCCTCCTTGAGATTGGCTGTAGATGCGGAGGCAAAAGAGACCGGTCTTGTCTGCAGTATCTTAGGGCGTGTTACTGATCTTGCACTGTTAGGATACTGTTACGGGTGTTTATGGAAGCAGGTCCATCAGGTCCAGGTTAAAATAAACTGTCACAGTTTCCACAATTCTTCCATGGCTCAGTCTGCATGCCCTGCTCTCCTCTATTATTATATTGACTCACATTGCGTGATACGCAGTAAGTAACCAGGACAGGGGAGTTGATATCTTACAAGTGTGATTTCTACCCCCTAATCTGGAAAGTTTTGTTTTTGGGAATTTAATTTTGTGTACAGCTTGTGACATATTGCACCTGACTGTCATTACTTGGCATGGGCCCAGGTGGATTTTGGTGTTCTCCCCCACCCCCCACCTTTATTGATTAAGGTATTACAAATGTGTCCTTATCCCTCATTGTGGATCTTGGTGTTCTTAATGCATGGCACGAAGGATCTCACTGAAAGGCAGAGAGCCATCTGTGTAGTCAGTAGATGAAATGAACACCAGCACTGCATTAAATATACATGTCAAATCGGAAAAGGTGAAAAAATCTACTCCAAGGACTAGATGGTCCTATGTAACAGAAGGGAATGCAATCATCATCGGGTATTCTTGTCCATAGACAAAAAATGTAGAATAATAGAAAGCTATGGTAGTACATAACCAGGACAACAAAGGGGTGATTGAGATAGCCCTTGTTTTTTTTTTGTTGTTGTTTTTTTATCGCAGTCCCTTAAACTGTGCTCCATGCCTAGTCTGCCAAATTTGGCTTGAGCATTCTCCCCATCCTTCTTTCTCTTCAACCTTTCTTACCTATAAGAAAGAGACTTTACCAGTGGTTCTCAACCTTCTGGCCCTTTAAATACAGTTCCTCATGTTGTGACCCAACCATAAAATTATTTTCTTTTTTTTTTTGTGGTACCGTAATTCTTTTTTTTAATTCACTTTAATATATTTTTTATTGATTAAGATATTACATATGTGTCCTTGTCCCCACGTTACACTCTACCCCCCCCTCCCGCT